TGAGACAGTGAGTATCTTGTTAACAGTCAGTTCTCTTCACAAGTACAACTCTGCCTTCAGAAACTTTAGAGGACTATGTAGATGTCAGCTGGTTAGTAAACATTTCTGGTGGTTCAGTATGTGAGATTTTTTAACTAACTCGGAGTTCAGAGATTTGAGTGGTGGAATAAACTCATTCTGCTCACTAATGTGAACAAGGTTTTTCACAGCTACATCTATAAAAATGAACGGATGCTAAATCTTGTGCCATTCTAGAAATTTATAATGCTATCTAATACTACAAAGTTATTTTGAAAAGAAAAATTTCAAGCTAGACATGGTGGCATATTCCTAGGGTCCCAGCTTGGGTAGCTAAGGCAAGCAGATTACTTGAGAGCAGATTTCAAGACAGTCCTTGGCAATATAAGGAGAACCTGTTACAAAACCAAAAACAACCCCCTGTCCAGCCTCAGAAACCAACGAAAGACCCCAAACCAACAAAAGACTTCACTAAGGTACATGCACAAATAAAAACATTTTATTTTTTATAGTAAAAAATTTGAAGCATTTTTTGGTAGCTTATATACCAATAATTCTAAGAAACCAGAAGGAATGAATTTGTTTTCTGTAAGCCTTATGGTTACTGAAATTTTAAACATTTTTTGTGTATCACAGATTTTCAAGTTTAAAATAGGAAACATTACTATGTTGAATGAAATTCAAAGAAAGAGTAAAATAAAATTTATTACTACTGAGGAGTTAGCTCATATATGAGTGAGAAAATATTTAGAGTCTATTAGATGCATTTTAAGATAGTACTTAAAGTGTCAGTATTTAAAATACTTGGGGAATGTGAGCCTTTATAGTGACGTTAAAATATAATCTTGATGCCAGCTTTAAATATAATCTTGATGCCACCTTTACCTTTCAGGTAAGGAGTATGTATTTTAAAAATTGTCTTAGGGGTGGGAATATAAGAAATACTTGATAACCACTGGTTTTGGATACATGTTCTTCAACCACCTCTTTAGTTACTGTGTACAAATTAGGTTGCTGCTTGATTATTCAGTAATGAGGCCCCACTGGTTTAATCCCTTTTGGAATCACTGTCATTGAGTTATTCTCCAGGTTCTCCCTTTCTTATCATGGTAGCTCTATAGTTAATGTTTCTGTCTTGGGCCAGGCCCCTGGGAGGTTTATATTTATGTGTAATTATTAGCTTTAGTGTTAAAATTACTCTTTAAAAAGACATTTTCTCCTTTGATTTTGTTTTTAAAAATTAATTTTAAATTATATATCTGTTCTTTGTAAAATATACAAAGATCCGTCTTACATACTTATTGAAAAGTCCCTCCCACCCTCCCAGTGTTGAGGATTAAAACCAGGGCTTTGTGCATGCTAGTGCCCTACCACTGAGCTACATCCCAAGCTGGGAGGGAAAAACTTAAAAGAATTTATACTCTTTCTCAACTAGTGAGATTGAAGACCTTCAACATTAAATACTTTCAGCCCAACATACCTATTATAAAATTTATTAAATTCTGATTGAAGGTGCCGTCTGTGTAGTACCAAGATTTGTCAAAATTTGGAAACTTTTAGTTCTAATATTGGAATGAGTATTTCCGAGTTTAATTTTGTAATATAAAAAAACTTCACTTTTTTACAGATTTTAAATATATGAACGACTTTTCAACTCCTAAGTTTATGGCAGATTGATAGTTCTAAAAACTCAGGCAAGCACCTGGGCATGAATTAACCGTGACTGGCAGTCCTCAGGAGAGAGTGATAATTTACTGTTTTTATGACAGTTTCTGGGAAAACCAGTTAGTCCAGCTTTACAGCTTATTCAACTTTGCATGGTACTCTTTTGGAATCCAAAATTAATCAGTAAGAAATTATTTCTCAAACTTGTAGGCTGTTTAAAAGGGAAAAATACTAAAACTTGAATAAGAGAAACAATGCAGTTCACTCTTACATTCATGTCTCTTATTCTCTGCCAGTGGGAAATGAACAGTCTCATTAGATGACAAATTATGTATCTTAAATAGTTTAGGGAGCTTTTCCTCCTGATTTTTCCTATTGTACTCAAACCAGAAGTTAGTGCAAAAATATCAGGCTTACCCATTGCAGTATTTGTACTGTTTCATAGTTCCACTCTTCGTAAATTCAGGATTCCCAGTTTGGAATAATTCCTGCTGCCTCCAATTATCCTTTGCAGCGGTGATAATCTCGGCTTGAATAAATTTGCTCGTACAAATAGGTATAATATACCTTTGTGTCTACTGGTAGCACCTTTGTTCTAATACCAAGAAGAGCATATTCTTTAATAAACCATTAACGTGGCCAGGTGTGGTACATGCCTGTAATCCCAGCACTTGCGGAAGCAGAGGCAGGAGGAGCACAAGTTTGAGCCCAGTCCGGGCCATTTAGCCATTTGGTGAGACCCCAAAAGAAGGTGGTTTAGGTAAGTGTGAAGGCCTTGGCTCATGTTCCAGCTGTATATATGAATCAAGTTATTTAGTGACACACACGATTATATCTAATTAACTTGCAGCAATTTTCCCATAAGCTTTTATGTGTTAAGTTTTTTACAATTCAGTATTGACTGTAGGTTAGATGATTTCATGTAAGGCCTCAGAATGTTGTAGGTATCATAAGTCAGAGATGTCCAAACCTGTGCAGCACGGAATTACCAGGAGAGCTTTTTAAAATGCACACTGTTGGGACTTACATTTTTTAGAGGTGGCATTCTTATGTAGTTACTTGGAAGCCTGTCACTTAAATTTGTACCATTATGAATTATTTTTTGAAAACCCATAAAAGTAAATATAAGGGCAATAATATTGTTAGTGATCATTCTCAGTACATTCTGAAGAGTAAGTGGGCAGAGGCATTTGAACTACACGTACAAGCAGCTGGTGAAGAAGCATGGGAGCTTGGAATTAAGTACGAGCAGCTGTTGCAGGAGTAGGAGAAGCTTGCACAGCAGAGAGCTGCAGAGAGGAGAACGTGGCAGGCATGCAAAATGTAGACGCCAGGGATCTGCCCAGCACCTCCCTGAGGGACACACCTGAGTGCAGGATGCAGTAGGGCCTGTGGCCTGCAAGCCCGGTCCACCTGGGGATGAGGGCTTGTGGCCTGATGTGTCCCCCTCACCTCGATGGCGGTAGCCAGCAGAATCTCGGTTCAGTTTTCCTTTGCTGCTCTTTCCTATGATATTTAAATATTCTATAATTACATTTTAGAATGGTACAAATAGAGCATGGTTCTTTTTTAGTGTCCTTGTGTGTATTAGGTGGTTCCCAGTACATTTTGTAATAAAAATGGTTTTATAAACAAAAAGTGGGCAGAGGGATAGGAGGGCAGACTTAATGGATTCAAGTAGTACCATAATTGTAGTAATTGTCAAATTAATACATGCTTACCTTTCTAGGCATGCTAATGTTCTTTAAGCAAGGTTCCCACCGTTCGGTAATGCAGATGTGAGTGGTGGAATGCTGCCGGCGAGCCTGACTCCTCTGGTAGGCAGCCATTGCCAAACAGTCATGGCCTGTTGTTGCCAAACCAAGTGCAGCACTTCCATTTCCCACTTTTTAAATGGTGGCTTAGTTACTAAAAAGTGAACAACAGATCTATTGGTTAGGCTTGGTCCACTTGCCACCAGTCGGCAATCTTTGTAGAGCAGTGGGTCTCTAGGTGTGGTCCCTACATCAGCAGCATCAGCATGGAAGATATTAAAAGAGGCAAATTCCCGGCCTCCACCTCAGCTCCACTGAAGTAGAGTCTCTGGAGATGAGACCCAGTCCAGTGCTTTACCACGTCCTTTGAGTGATTCTGATACATGCTTAGAGTTGAGAACCACTGTTTGGGTGTGTAGAAATTGGTATTTTTACCTGGAGATAGTAACAAAGATAAACACTTATCAAATATCCTATAAGTTTATCAAGTATTTTTCCTGTATCAAAAATGTCAGTTACATTTTCAGATGAACTTGACTTTTTTTTTTTGGCCAGAAGGATCCAAGCACACAGTGATTAAGTTGGGGTTTCTTCCTTTTCTTTTTGTTGTCAAGGTTTATTGCAAATGGATTTAAAAGCAATTCTGTGCCACATTTTCACCTCATTAGAACATATCTTACATTTTATTTACTGGTTGATTAAAACTTGATAAATGTTTTACATGGCTTCCTGAAGTTCAATTTAAAATTTCTTCTGTAAAAACATATGTGACATATGCTAAAATAACAAACACAGGTTAATTATTCTTTGTCTAAAATGCTTGTGATCTGGAACGTTTGGATTTCTTTTTTTTTAGAATGTCTGCATATATGTAATATATCTCATTTGGGGATGGGACCCATGACTACATATAATGTTCATGTTTCATATACACCTTTTCAAATACTTGGAAGGTAATTTTGTACAGTATTTTTAGTGAACCTGTCACTTAAGGCCAGATGTGGAATTTGTCAGTTGTTGGTACTCAAAAATTTTTGAATTTTCATATTAGGCACATTCAACTCGTATCTCCTTATTTTACCCCACTTTTCTAAACTAAATTTTGTTTGCTAGAATTCACAGTTGTTTTATATAAAAAGGGAATTAGGTGATTTTATGTAACCCTGGCCTCTTAACTGGTGATTAGGTTAGTGCTCAAAAATATTTAATCCCAATATTTTCTCTATTTTCAGAGTATAGAAATAACTGCTGTCTAGATTGTTGTCCTTCAAATTCTCCTTTTTCTAGCCCACACATATTTGATCATATAAAAGTATTTCATACTTTTCTAATCAAATTAATTAAAATTTTATGCAGAGAATTTTCTTACATTTAAAAGTATACATTTGTTATGAACCAAATTTCTGCATGTCTTACCTAATGAAATGTTTAAAATGTAAAGTATATTTACAATGCTGTGATAGAGTGAGAATTTTGAATAATCTGATATAAAATAATATTCAATTAAAAAAGAAATCTAATTATATTTACATATAATAATACTGAAAACACTTGTATTTACAGGGTAAACCAGATTTGAATACAACATTGCCAATTAGACAAACAGCATCAATTTTCAAACAACCAGTAACCAAAGTCACAAACCATCCTAGTAATAAAGTGAAATCAGACCCACAACGAATGAATGAACAACCACGTCAGGTAAGGATCTAATTCATCTTCCAATTGTATTTTTCAGAAAATTCTGGTACAGTATTTTTGACCAGAGTTCAAGTGTATTCTGGTTAAAGTGGAATGTATTTGGAAAGAAAACTGTTTTATGTCCTAGACTGTTACATGAATGCTGGAGAATAATTATAATAATATAAAATTTAGGTAAAATGTTTGGAGAAAAAATTTTTAAAAGTCAATTAAAAATGAATAATTACAATGGACTATACTTTCATACTTTTTGTGTTGTAATATACATCAGACTTGGTTCTGCTAATCATACTTTCTTAGAAATTATCTTTTTAGGGGTAATATCTTATGGAAGGATAAAACATGTAGTTGCTTAGTTAAAAAATATTTTCTATTTGAAAGCTACTTTTTTATGGGTTCTGATTTATTTCATGAAATCTGTCCCACCCCTTTTGGAAAACAGAATTAGATAAACATCAATATGGTATATTGTCCTGTGACTTTCATTTTTATAAATGCAATTTAGTTTTCTCTTTCTTTATTGTTTCAAGCTGAATTTCACCATAATCTTTTCTTAGGAAAAAGGTACTATCTGAAAGGCCTCCCTGCTGCTTAATAATGCCATAGAGCCAGGGGAGGGAGACTTGACAAAATGCTAAACATTCCATGTAATATTGCTTATTCACTCCCTAATTGTGATCAAAAGCTTAGGTGCTTAATGAAGTTTTAGTAACTATTGGGGTGAGGGAGCGGAGGGAGAAACATCTGTGCATTTTTTTCCCCCTCTCCTTTCTCTGCCTCCTCCCACAAAGGATTAGAAACAACAGTTTTACCTCAACTTGCTCTCCTGTTCCCTTTTAGATGTCTCACTCCACCTTTTCATTTGAATTTGTTTTTCACTAGTCATTCAAGTGTTTCATCTCCAGACTTCATAAAGGAGTGGGCCAAAACTTTCAGACAGTTGCTCTAGAAGAAACTACTTAAAGAAATTCAGTTCCCACATCCTCTGTAGTGTTTTTTCCTCTTCAGGTGAGCCAGGAAAACAGAAGATATTTGGAGCCACATTGGATCAGCATCTTGCTATAGATGTCTCAAGATTTGAAGTTCTAAACTTGCTTTACTGTTGGTCCCCAAGAGATTCAACAGGGGCCATGTAAGTGTATCACATCCAATATAAAAGATGCGTACCTGCATGTGCCTTTAGGCTCTTACCACCACTTAGGGTTTCTTTGTGCCATTCAGCTTTCTATGTGAGGCTTTTCCCTTCTGTTTGACTATGCACCCAGGATAGTCACCAAGCTGGTGGTAGTTTTAGTGTATTCGTTACAGCAAGGAAGAGATTCTGCCATCCTGAACTTTGGCCACCTTGATAAAGCCATTCCCCAGTTGTACTCTTTCTTAGATACTATCTAAAGTCTTCAACTTCTTGTCCTTTGGCTTTTTGTTATTTAAAAATCATTTCCTCACAAAGATTTTTATTAATTGAAAATTTTAGAAGTATGTAATTGGGTAAAACAATTGGCTTCAAAAATCCCAAAGGTAAAGGTAGAGTATAATCTTTAATAACACCATTCCACACTGGGAATTTGAGTTCTCTTACTGAGAACAGGTAGTATTTAATAGTTTATCCTCATCTTTTCTTTGTGAAGTCATTCTCAATGTAGTCTGTTCACCCAAGTGTTTTGTTTAAAGACCAATTGCTTAGGACATTTCTGGCTATTTTGATAATAATTTGTTTTCTGCACCTAAGCCCAGATTTAAAAAAAAAAAACCAAAGCATAGTAACTATACATATTTACTGAATGTGTAGCCATCTGTAGAGAAATTGGGAACCTGGAATTTAAAAGCTAAAGTAACCAGACTAGGTGCCCCTTGTTCTTTGGTATGCTGAATAGTTTTGAGTTTTCCTTCTTCTATTATGATTTATGAGATGACTCTCCTAGTGAAAACTAGGTGCCATAAAGGTTAAGTCCCTTCCCTTCCCTCTCTCACCAAAAGACTTAATGTCGTTTTAACTCAGTTCTTTTGAGGGTTTATTCCTCCTTTTAGCTTGCGTAGAACAGGAGTGTTAAGATGATGTAGTAGCTTACTTCTCCAGAAGCATGGTCTGATTTTTACTTTATTCTCACTTTATTTGACAATATTTACTGGATGCTTTTGATTATATTAAGACATTTTAGGAGTCTTTTCCCTTTCATTGTTTTCAACATAGAATAGAGGTAATAGTTAACCATTGTATTGCTGGTAGAATTCCAAAATATAAGACTGCATTTGTCAAATACAGGAAAGTAGTAAAGAGACAATTTTTAAATTATCATTTTAAAAATTGTGGTCTATATATTGACTATTCCGGGTTAGATTTAGGTTTGTTAGCAAAGGAAAGATGTTGATTTTAATTGTATTTTGTCATATATAAGGCAGATGACTACTACTCAGCCGTTATTGAATAGTAGATAGTTGACGGGATGCACAGAGATAAATATGCTCCTTCCAACTCTGCTACCCTTTAGTAGGGTTCATTAAACTATATTGATAATATAAATTGCATATTATTCAATTTGGTAGAGTTATATTTTAGTCAGTAAAGGAATTAGACAATAAGGGTTCTGTTGAAGATTTTATAGATAACATTATTTTTTTCTTTAGCCATATCACATTATTACAATGAGTCAGGTTAGTGATAATTTCTTTAGGAGTGTTGAGTTTTGAAGCTCTAATTCTAGAGCTGGGATTATGTTTCTGGGTCTTAATCTAGGCTGTACCTTCAATAGATTTGAAGTGGTTAATTTAGGTGAAAACCTATCATAAAAATTAGTAATTTTGTTTTGTAAAACAGACATTCTATGTCCAGGTGATGATAGAGCAGAATGATATGAATTCTGTAAAATATGTAAAGTATGAATTTCTAATGTATTGACTTAAAAATATCTTAAAACTAAAAGTACAAGTTAGTATATGTAAAAGAAAGTCCATTAAACAGAACTCAGTACAGAATTCAGTAGTGATTTCTGTCTGTAATCAAAATTGTAGAAAATAGAAAGAGAATGTATAAAGCGTCTTTATGATGGTGAAGAAGCTAGCTGTTTTTAGTGTCAGCATATTTGATATCATCTTCTCATTAGATTAAAAAGAAACCTGGAGTGAGGTGGAGGGCACTCTACCAACTTACCGTGGCAAACAGTAGCATCACTGAAATGTCCTTTTTCAGCCAGGTATAAAATCTATCTCAAGATTCTCTGTAGTCTAAATGATTTGTGATTTTGTAAGGGAGTCTTTCCTATTTTATGTCTCTCAGTATGTAAAGACCACACATTTCTGATTCTTATGTCTTCAATATTGTCATCTTTCATGCCTTCTGGTCTCTTGTCTCTTTTATCCTCACATTGAAAAAATTTCATCTTTGAGTTATTACATTTTCATTTTAGTTATTAAATTATAGGATGATGGTAGGTTTTCAGGTTTTTTGGTAATTTATGAATATTCCATTACTTACATAATATTCATTTTTTTTGTAGAAGTCAACATTTAAAGCCAGTGCAGGAGCAGCTGTGAATCTTCTACCTGGTCTTAGGTTTTTCCCTTTTGTTTTGTTTTGCTAACCCTTCTTCCAAAGGGTATTAAACTTCTTTTTACTCCCTCCCTGCTCAGCCTTTTCTTCTAGAATAAATACTGTAAAATACATTAGAAGACACTTTCCAGATAAAAGGTGTTTTAAAGTTATATGCACTTTAAAGATACTCTGTGTGAAAAGTTTTTAAAATATTTCAATATTCAGTTATCATACAGAAAATTACTGTTCATTTCAGGCATTCTAGCAACATTTACTTCTTTCTAAACTCTGAGAGTTATACCTACTATAGTCTCATAATATTTTTATGATTGAGAAATATATCAATTTTTCTCACTAGAGAAATCAAGGATAGAGTGCCAGAGCAGATAATATATTTCTTTTCTCCAGGCAGAAAAATTGCCTATTTGAGTAGAAAAAATAGACAATAATGTCCCATGCCACTCTAAAATATTACTCTGTTCAAGCCATTTGCCAGCATTCCAAGTGCCAAGTGAACACTACAGACAAGCGCTATAGGTGTTCACAGAGAGGAAGCTCACTGTGGGTAGGAAGTTTGGGGTAAACTTTAGGAGATGAGACATATGCTGGACTTTGAAGATTGACTGGGATTTAGGAAAGCAAACAGGAGGGAGAGACCATTCCAATTTGGGACAGGAGCTTTTTTGCAAAGCTGTTACTTGGGAGCAAGTAAGGATGGGGAGACAAATTGGAAATAAGGATATTTATGGGAAGTAATTGTAACTAAGCATGGTTCATGTTGTTCAGGTCTCCTTAAATATCAGTCTTTCCAAGTTTCAAAAATTTTATCTTTTGCTTTTTTCATAATAAAGAAATTTGGGATAAACAGAAGAAAAAATAACTCATTTTCTTTTTTCTAACACAACCATAGTATCTCTTTTATTATTTTTAATAGTTTCTTTCTTCATGTTAGTGAATTTTTAAAAATATAATGATCATATATATGTTTTAAAAAATTTCACACTTTTATGTAATTTGTGACCATAAGTTTTAAGTTAACTGTATTGTATATAGTGTCAGCAGTTGCATATTGTGCTAGCATATGATTTACTTAAATATTTCACTATTAGGTGTAGCAGTCCAGTGAGTTTTTTCATTCCTGTAAGTTTCTTTCTGTATTTTACTATATTTCCTTGGGTTACAGTCCCAGAAATATAATTACTATGGATATGTATGATTTTTGATATATACCATCAAATTGATTTTCCAAGAGTTGTATCAAATTAAAAGATCATCAAGTTATATGCATTCCAGTTTCAGCTTACCTTTTATGCGTTGTGTACTATCAAAACATTTTGTAATTGAATATTTTGTAAAGGTATTTCATTTTAAATTTATATTTGAATACTTGGAAAGTTGAATAGATTGAGACATTTGTGTTTAATTTTACAAATGAGAAATGTGTAGAAGACTTTGAACCAGTGTATGGCTT